AAGTCCAATCCCACTAGCAGGTGGAACCCAGATGCCTCGATGCAGGCGTTCTTCCCACCCCCGCCTCCTGTGCCACGCAGCTCATACTCTATGCTGCTGTGCGGCGAAGTGCAGCGTTTAATTTCAAGTCTTATCACCAGCTGTTTGGTTCAACCTCCGTGGAGATGTGTATGCCACACGACGAGAGAACATATGCCCGCATGAAAACAAAACCAAACAGCAAAAAAAAGAGTAATAACGTCTCCTGCCTTTATTCACTCCTATTGCGACAGTTACTACCCACAGCAACTGCAAGTCCACACACCATACCGCCTTCAGCCGCGCCTCATGCGAAGCTCCACACGGGGATGTGAAAGAACGGCATGCCGTAATGATAGTAATAATAATAACAATAGTAATAATGACGCGAGAAGGAAGACTGTGAGTGAAGACGCCGCTTTCTGCACACACACGACAATTAGATAGATAGATAGATATAGAGAAAATACGTGAAACAGCAGAGCCAGGGCGAGCAACAAGACGCTGGTACCAGACATGCTCTCAGTAACTGCGCTGCGAAAGAGCAAAAAATCAAGGAAAGAGGGAGCTGCAGACTTCGACGATACAAAGCAAGTGATTTTAAATAAAATTCAAAAGAGAACACACAAATACACAACAAACAACAAAAAACAAGCAAACGGGAGGGAGACACCTCCCACCTCACTGCTTCATCCCACATTTTCCTTATCTCTGTGATCCTCAGCTTCCACCACAACTGCCATGCTTCGTTGTTAATTTTTTCTTGCGAAATACGTGCATTTTTCCTCAGCTGATCGGTGTCTTATTTTTTTTTCTCAACCTGTGCGTCTGCGACGAGCGGCGATGAGGCCTGAGGCTCATCTTCCTCTCTTACACACACACACACACACACACACACACACACACACACAGACATATGTACACACATACAGCCATTTCCCCCCCCATTGCCCGCGGCTCCTTCGTCCTCTTCGCATCTTACCACTGTGTCAAGGCAGCCACACTCGGATGCTCGCTGCGCACGACAATATTGACGCGGTCTTTCCAGCATCCATTGGCTTTATGATTCGTGGCTTCGTTTTCTGCCACAGATGATGATAACACATTCACAACTGGCGTTACTTCCAAAATCATAACGGTCGGCAAACTCTTCAGTTTCACTACAGGGTGCGTGCAGTAGGGGTGAGTTGTGCCAAAGAATGATGGCTCCACATCACACTGCAGAAACAACGTTTCCTTCCGTTTCTCCTGCAGCAGGTGCACTGCCACACGGACGTCCTCCTCCGCCGCAACGCAGTCGGCACACCACGACTTCCCCCCTGTTGCGGGAAGGACAGCACCCGTGAAGTACAGCACCACACACGCCACTTTCCCGGCGCGATGCTGCAGCAGTGTGTCCAGGCACATATCCAGCGAGTGAGGGTCGGACACGAGAAGATTGCTACTGTTGCTGTTTATACTGCAGCTTATTGTGGGGCCCACGTCGCCCAGGATTGTACACCGGCGCCGGTGGAGAAACTGCAGGTATCGCCGGCGCACAGGGTTGTCCTCGCACGGGCGCGGTATCGCCACCCACTTTGGATTCTCCTTAAAAAGACGCAGTGCTTCCGTGTTCGCGTTGGCATCAACAGTGAAGCGGTGGTATATGCCAGCGGGAAGGATGATGCAGTCCCCGCTGACAACGTAAATCCGCACCCACTCGTCCTCTGCGTTGCGCACATCGAAGTAGCCGGAGCCACCCCACACAAGCCTCGCTTCGTCGTCCTCGTGTATGTGCTCCTCGAAGAACTTCGCCATGGTGGCCGCGAACGCCGCCTCACCGCCCGCTTCCGGCTTGGGCGCAATGCACACCGTGTCGTGGCCCTCGTAGTGCAGCTGCTGCTTGAGACGATCAATCAACGCCGCGCGGTCCTGCAGTTCGGTGTTGCTAAAGCGACGGTAGAAGACACCCAACTCTGCCAAAGCAGCCGTGTCGAAGGGGACATTTGGGCAGCGCCGGTTCGGAGCTGTTTGGTCCGTGATGTGCGGTGCCATCAACCAACACTCGGTCATGCTCACCTCCTGTTGTCGTGGGCTGTGCCTATATAT